TGAAATCAGCACCGTCCTGTTGCTCCCATTGAAATGTATACAGCCTGTTTAAACTCTAAAACTCAACACTGTCCTGTTTGGAATGGGTACTGACTGACTGGATGCCCATTAACCTTATAACTGTTGTGTGTGTGTGTGTGTACAGATAGACAGCCAGGTGCATATAAGGAAGGTTTTTCAAAAAAAGGAGCCACATTCAGGTGAAAGTGTAAAATCAAATGACCTGTGAATCAGGAATAATGTTGGATCAGTGTTTCAATATTTATGTCCTTTATTAGATGTTCGTGTGGTTTGGTTATTTGCCTTTTGCTTGAAAGTACACTGAGAGGACTTTTCATTAGTGATCTTAATAGTAGTTTTTTCATATTAATGTAATTTTTCATCTAATTGAATCTATTTGTGTATGATTGTCAGTCCAAAGAGGGAACGTGAGGAAGAAGCAGGTAAGCAAACAGACAGGGAGCAGTGACAGGCAGAAACTGTGAACCTGACAAAGAGAAAAACCTGATTTTACTCACAGTCTGGAAGTTGTGTCCTCCCTGTATTAAAGCTGCTAAACAGAATCTGCTAAACAAACTGGGCTGAAACACTTTGAGCCTCTTTAACAACATCCCAACATAACATTATCATTGATCGGGGAGATTAAAATTAATGATATATTTGTATGTGGTTCAGCCACAGCTCTGCTAAAACCTCAGCCAGTAACAGGTCGGCCAACCTTTGGACCGTCCAGTTGTCTGCATGACTGCTGCAGTACGTGCATCACATGTGCTCACTATCAGTGCCAAAGACTGTCCTGGTGGAGCGAGCAGCTGTAAAGAGAAGCAGATGCTCTGTTTCTAAAAGTGTTTTAAGCTTGTTTCAAAGATTCTGTACTGCAGCTTTAAATGTTTTCCAAAAGCACACACACACTTATCAGTGTTTCTCACACTTGTTACAGTGTGGACCACCTGAGAAAATGTCAAGCTCTCCCAAGGACCACCATGAAAGCATGAAACCCATAAATCTTACAACACAAAATTAGCATCTGCAGTAAAGATGTTTTCATACATGCTACCACAGGCAGAGTTGGCTCCATTTTTTAAATGAATATTTTGTAATAATTTATTGTTTTTGGAGTGTATTTTTATGTGTCTGTATTATATTAAACACACATTAAAAGTGAATCTCTGTCCAAAAAATACAGTCAGTTTACTTCTTACTCACTGTGAGCATCATTCATTATTCTCCCAGTAATGAAGGTTAATATATGTATTTATTTATTCCAATCCATTCTTCTTTGGCAGCATTTAAATAACCTTGATCAGATTTGATGGTTTTGTTACAGACTTTTCAAAAAAGTCACAAATGTACAAAACAGTGATGTCATGTTTTGTGACTCGGACCCAGGCACAGAGAGACTTGATGAATTTAAGAATCTTATGATTTAATAAAGAAATTTGCAGACTTGCACAGAGATGGTAAAGTTATGATGACTGATGACGGAGATGAAGACAGCAGACGAGGAGGACAGGGAGGAACAGGGGTTTAAATGCACCGAGGAGACAGTCAGAGGGAACTCGGGACAACATTTAAGGACGCAGGGACTGACAGAGACGGGTTTATCTTGGCTGGCTGGGCAGCTCTCTGGGTGCTCAGCACCCCCAAATCTCTGATCCTAGAATCGCCCCTGGGTTGTACACGTTGTCATTAACGTGGCTTCACGCCACATCAGCCGCTTTGCTCGCTACAACACCGGTGTGGGCGCATGAGGACGCTGTCATAGCCTGTCAGCGACGTTGATTGGCTGCGTATATACGAATGTGAATGGCATCATTGGCTGGACTGTGGGATAAGGTGGCATGGTTCTGATCCCATACAGGAGCAGCCAGTCACTGACTCACACTGCAGGACAGAGTTGTTCAAGTATTCACGTTAATTGCAGGTTCGATTTTTGCAGCTTGGAGGGACCATGGTGGTGACAGAGTGGGAGGCCCACACTCTGCTAATATCAGATCTGCACAAACACTCGGACGTTTGAAATCATTACTAACGGCGCGTTTTTATGGCCTGGCTTTTAGCACGCGTTGACACAAACATTTCGCTTTTAACAGCCTTAGTTGTTGTTTTTATTGACGTTCTATATTTTACTGCATCATTGTTGTGCATTTTATTATAGTGGCCTTTTACATTGACAAGCACGTTGTGCAGCATGGCCTGTTGTGCTGTATAAATACACTTGAGCTTGAATGTGTGAGTGGCAGCACGGGTCCATCTGTACTGCAGGTGGTCCGGCTGGCAGCGCAGACGGCTTCTGCTGCGCTCCTGCAACACTCACAGGAGGCTAATAACACAGAGCCGGCAGACTACAACTGTAATAAGATCCTGGACCTTCTAGGGTCTACACTGGAAGTTCAAAGTGGTCTTCAGGGAATGGTATGACTCCTCCTGTGCATCTCCCCCGTTTCTGTCCCTGCCCTTTGTTTCCCCTGTCTCTGTGGTGACCTACTTTACAGAGACAGGATCCTCCTGGGAGCTCAGATTCTCCTGGACACACCTGAATCAATCTGACAATCAGCTGTCTGCCATTTAAGCTGGTCCTGACGTTCAGTTAGTCACCGCTGAGTTGTCTCCCTCCTCCTCCTCAGTGTAAGAAGCCCTGACTGTGGCACTGATGAGACCCTTACACGGCTCCATCCACCGGCTCACTCTGCTGTCAGAGGCGGCTGAGGTTTTTTAACATCTGTCCCACAATAGGATTTTCTATGAGTCTGCTGTAGCCAGTGCCATCTTCTATGCTGTTGCATGCTGGGACAGCAGGTTAACAGCTGTGCATGAACTGATGCACAAGACCAGTAACGTAGTGGGGACGGAGCTGGACTCTCTTAGGGTGGTGTCTGAGAGGCGGATGTTGTCCAAGATAAAGACAATGCTGGACAACAGCTCTCACCCACTCCATGACGTGCTGGCCAGTCACAGGAGCACGCTCAGTGGGGGACTGCGATTACCCATGATGCACCACTGAACGAGACAGGAGATCATGCCTGCCGTGGACATGGCTGCACCACTCCTCCACTGAATGCACTGCAAACGCTGATCGTGACACCGCTACCTGCACATCCTCTGCAGAGGAAATAAAGTACAGTTTGATAAGAGGGGCACCTCAGTGCCAGCATACATACTTAGCACTGTAATATGCATGTGTAATATACGGGGATGTTTACTGTTCTTACTGAGACAGCAGGGTGGAGCTTCTGCAGCAGCACAGGCTGCTTGGAGGATCTTTTAATAGAACTTACAGGTGGCGTCAACACCTGAAATACAAACGTGGACACGAACAGACGACATCATGAAGCACCAGGAAGCCCTGAACTGAAGCACAGACCAGAGGAAGAGCAAAGATGTGCTAAAATGTGAGTAACCAAAGCAGGCAGAAGTACCTCCGCTTATATCCACCTGCTGACAAACACTACGACCTCTGAGCCAACTGGAGGCCACAAAAAAGCTTTTTGTTTGTGAAAGAATCATTTGAAAGACAGGATGTTTCTAACCTTAGACACACTGCAAAAATGGAACAAAGCAGTGCTATACAGTGCTTTCATATGCACACTGTTACAGGCTAGCGCTGGTCGTTGCACACTGCGCCTAGGCCTGGTTTGTCCAGACGAGCAGGGCACGTGATCAGTGATGTCCCGGCTCCATTTGGTGCATCGCTGCTTCTGTGCCTGATTCAGTGGTCTAAGGAAGTGAATCATGGGTCAGATCTTTGGTGAACCAGTCTGTGACATACTGGGAGTCATGGAAGCAGCGAGGATGTACTGCCTGCTCCTAAATCAAAAACAAATACACTAATGTGTTATTGCTTCAGCAGTGCATGAGCAACTCTAGCCCTGGAGTTTCATTATAACACGAGTTATAATGCACCTGCACATAAGCACAGGGAGGCAGGGCCTCACAGCACAGGCACACTCCCAACCTATTAAAAGAGTGTGTGCTTCATTATTCTAGGTTTTATTCATTATGTTTACAAATGGCCAGAAGCAGAGAGCATGTTTATTGATCAAACAGACACAAAGAGCAGCTGAGGGAGAAATGCTGTCACACGGTACAGAGAAGCTGCCAGTTCAGCTCTGAGCTGATGAAGGAGCTTGTTTCAAGCTTCACATGGTGCCAAACAGGACTGTGCTGAGGAATCAGCCTTTTCACATGACAGCTCGATTGGACCAGAGTGAGCATCTGACAGGTACCATGTTTCTCCAACAACCTCCGTTTGATCTGAAGTTAGAGTCCATCCAGGTCTACCTGACTCACCGATACATAAAGCTGAATATCATCTGCACAGGAATGAAACCGCACGCTACGCCTTCGAACGCTCAGCACTGTTCCAGCTCGACTCCACCACCCACCAGTGTGTGTGGACTTCATGTTCTCACTGTGTTTGTGTGGGTTATTACCAGGTACTCCGCCTTCCCTCCACAGTCAGGTGGAGTTAGGCTGTCTCTGTGTGTTAACCCTGCATCATATTTGCAATCAGTCCATGGGCCTCTCGCCCTGTGGTAGCTCAGAGGCTCCACCCTCCACGACCCCGATAAGAAGAAGAAGAAGAGGAAGAATGAGTGGATGTCTCTGAGTGAGCTGATGCTGCCACAGGAGAAAGGAACTGGTCCCAGCAGTGCAGCTCAGCGTGTGACTCCCATCGTCAGGAATAAATGAAACTGCCGCACTTAATTCATGCTGTAATCGCTCTAATAGGATGTTATGGTGGACAGCATGGAACGCTGCACTGAGGTCGAGCAGGACAAGCACAGAGATGAGTCCACTGTCAGAGAAGATCGTCTGTAACCTTCACTGAAGCCGTTTCTGTGCTGAGCTCTGAAACCTGACTGAAACTCTTCAATAAGCAGAGGATCTGTTAGCTGTTTACTCTCTCCACACTGTTTGAATGAAATCAGTTCATTCGATGTGTGCCAGTGTTGCACTAATACGAGCTCACCCCAGTGATACGAATGAAGGAGACAGAACATATTTCAGTCACGGCTTTTTCTCCTTTGGCATCAACACAAATTCAGCATCAACAACACAAACAGTAATCAGTGCGCTGTAATTACATCAGAGCCAAACATAAATAATGTTACTAGTGTTACATGGAGACATTTAAAGTACAGTGTAGTGTAAGAGTACTGCAATGAGACAAACACAGTGTCCTGAAAAGCTCCTGGAGTCAGTGTGTAACCAGCCTGCAGTGATGCAAGGCTTCACAAACACAGCAGACTGTAGTGTGACTGTTTCAGGCAGCATGCAACAGCAGCTGCAGTGCTGAATCTCCAGAACAAATGTTGAGGGGCCCTGCTGGGAGCTGCCACCTGTGGATGTGAGCTGAGGGTCCTGACACGCTAAAGCTGGAGGGGGCTGCTACAGACCAGTGTTTCACTGGGGGGATTTCTCTACATCAGTGTGGGACATCAAGCTTTTCTTTAAGGGTGCGTGGCTGTGCTGGGGAACCCTAACTACATGATTAGGGTCCCGGGGCTCCGCCTTCCTGCATGGTGGTGGGGGGGGCAGGAACCTTGTGGAACGGAGTCTCCTTGTAAATGAACCAGCAGTTACCTGCCCACAGGATCAGGTTCAGAAAGCCAAAAATCTGCAGAAACACATGAAAACACAAGTGATGACATTCAAATGTAAAACATGAGAAAAAGAAGACAGAAAAACATTTCTGCCACATTTCAAAAGAGCCGTGAGCTAAACTGTTACCTTAAATCAAAGATGACTGAGCTGGCCTCAGTAACTACAGCTTCAACACACTCATTCACACAACATTTAAAGAGAACGTGTCGTTGTTTGGAGTTAACTTCTGCTGCAGCCTAGTCCTATGCAGAGGTTTTAAACATAACACATGAAATACTTCTTTACAAGTGAAAAAGTCCAAAGCAGCTTGTTTGAAGACGTTTCCATCAGCAAAGCCAGCTGAACCTTTATATTGATATAGTAAACTGGTGCAGGGGAACACAAGCGGTTTCAGTTTTACTGATAGTGAACAGACTGAAGCTGACTTTACATTTAAACCTGAACAGCTGTGATCAGCTGACCCTGCTGCTGCTGCTCTGAGGTTTACTGATCTTACACAACTTCATTCAAACAAAGATGCAAACACGCTTCAGGAGTTCTCCTGGTTGGCTGAGCTAACAGCACAGCAGCTGATATGCAGCTGGATCATGAGCATCATGTCTCCATATTCTGTGCTACCCTTTATGTAACCCAACTATAGCAGCACAGCGTTACTGTGGTCAGCTTTATATCCCACAAAGTATTTCAATAACAGAAAGGCTGCTGGATGTTTCCCACTATGAAAGAAACAAGTCCATATAGAGATGTGACCTTTAGCAGGTGCATGGTTCCTGTTCTCAGCTATCACATTCACCTCGGCATCAAACGTCGCTTCGTTAGTTCAGTCACAAGCTGCCATGCTTTCCCACCCGCTGATGACATCAGCCTTTTACAGCTGGGGGCCAAACAAACAAACAAACAAACATACAAACAAACAAACATACATACATGAGGATTTTCCCGGTGTAGGACTGAGACACAACCTCTCTTCTTCCTGTTCTGTCCCATCTGTCTGAGCTTTTCCATCTCTGAGTGAACTTCACACAGTTTGTGCGTTTGCTGTTAATTGTTGAACATATTAAAGTTGATATGACCGGCCACGTAAAAACAAGTTGCTGCCTTTACACGCTCTCACCTTCTGCAGGGCTCGATGAAGCACCACAAACACCACTTATGAACCTTTGCATTCATTTGAAAAACAACAACCATGGACCCAGTTTGACCAGATTCCTCTCGCTGTACATGATTACACCACTGGGACTGCCTGTGTGTTACTGCTTAGGCTCACTGGGAAACTGGTGAACACTCCCTGTTCCACAAGCTCTTACAGTTGATATGTACGGTGGCCCCTAGAGACAAAACACGTGCAAACTCCAAAACACAACGGAAGTGCTCCAGGACGCTAGGGGCAGTGTTGAGCTTTTGTTACCTAGTAACTACACAAGCCAGGAAGTACCAATGACCGGATTTGGGCTGTATCCCAATTCAGGGTTTGCAGCCTTAAAGGCCACATTTTAAGGTCGATTACATCACAGCAACATGACGAAGGGTGTCCCAATTCAAAGGCTGCTCGAAATGCGGCCCTCAAATGCATCCTTCATTTCCCTGAATTTTAAGGATGGGTCGGTGTAGACTTCATGGCCCAACATACAGTGGGGCAAAAAAGTATTTAGTCAGCCACCGATTGTGCAAGTTCCCCCACTTAAAATGATGACAGAGGTCAGTAATTTGCACCAGAGGTACACTTCAACTCTCCAGGAAAGCTCTCCAGCGAGTAGTGCGGTGCTCTGAACGGATAATTGGAGGTGAGCTTCCCTCCCTCCAAGACACCTACAGGAAGCGGTGCCTGAGGAAAGCGGGGAGGATCATCAAGGACTCCAGTCACCCCAGCCATAAACTGTTCAGACTGCTTCCATCAGGAAGGAGGTTCTGCAGCATCCGGTCCCGTACCAGCAGACTGAGAGACAGCTTCTTCCACCAGGCCATCAGACTGCTGAACACGTCATAGACACCTCAGCTTCACTACTGGAACTTCAACATTATGCACTCCACACTGTACAGTAATGCCACTGTTTTGCACATATTCAACTCTGTATATTTTATATATTTTATTTATTGTTGACTCTATTTAATTTGTAAAATGTGTACACACACACACACACACACACACACGTAGAAAAATATTTAGTATACACATCCAGAAATGCATATACTATTATATATTGTACATATATTTATTAGTTTCAGATGTAGCCATTCTTGTATTTTGCTTGTTTACATTATTGTATTTTGCACAACTCTGTTGCTTGTGAAGCTCGCACACAAGAATTTCACTCACATGTGCTGTACCAATGTACCTGCACATGTGATGTGACAATAAAAGTGATCTGATTTGATTTGATTTCAACTGTGAGAGACAGAATGTGAAAAAAAAATCCATGAATCCACATGGTAGGATTTGTAAAGAATTTATTGGTAAATCAGGGTGGAAAATAAGTATTTGGTCAATAACAAAAATACAACTCAATACTTTGTAACATAACCTTTGTTGGCAATAACAGAGGTCAAACGTTTACTATAGGTCTTTACCAGGTTTGCACACACAGTAGCTGGTATTTTGGCCCATTCCTCCATGCAGATCTTCTCGAGAGCAGTGATGTTTTGGGGCTGTCGCCGAGCAACACGGACTTTCAACTCCCGCCACAGATTTTCTATGGGGTTGAGGTCTGGAGACTGGCTAGGCCACTCCAGGACTTTCAAATGCTTCTTACGGAGCCACTCCTTTGTTGCCCGGGCGGTGTGTTTTGGATCATTGTCATGTTGGAAGACCCAGCCTCGTTTCATCTTCAAAGTTCTCACTGATGGAAGGAGGTTTTGGCTCAAAATCTCACGATACATGGCCCCATTCATTCTGTCCTTAACACGGATCAGTCGTCCTGTCCCCTTGGCAGAAAAACAGCCCCATAGCATGATGTTTCCACCCCCATGCTTCACAGTAGGTATGGTGTTCTTGGGATGCAACTCAGTATTCTTCTTCCTCCAAACACGACGAGTTGAGTTTATAGCAAAAAGTTCTACTTTGGTTTCATCTGACCACATGACATTCTCCCAATCCTCTGCTGTATCATCCATGTGCTCTCTGGCAAACTTCAGACGGGCCTGGACATGCACTGGCTTCAGCAGCGGAACACGTCTGGCACTGCGGGATTTGATTCCCTGCCGTTGTAGTGTGTTACTGATGGTGACCTTTGTTACTTTGGTCCCAGCTCTCTGCAGGTCATTCACCAGGTCCCCCCGTGTGGTTCTGGGATCTTTGCTCACCGTTCTCATGATCATTTTGACCCCACGGGATGAGATCTTGCGTGGAGCCCCAGATCGAGGGAGATTATCAGTGGTCTTGTATGTCTTCCATTTTCTGATGATTGCTCCCACAGTTGATTTTTTCACACCAAGCTGCTTGCCTATTGTAGATTCACTCTTCCCAGTCTGGTGCAGGTCTACAATACTTTTCCTGGTGTCCTTCCAAAGCTCTTTGGTCTTGGCCATGGCGGAGTTTGGAGTCTGACTGTTTGAGGCTGTGGACAGGTGTCTTTTATACAGATGATGAGTTCAAACAGGTGCCATTCATACAGGTAACGAGTGGGGGACAGAAAAGCTTCTTACAGAAGACGTTACAGGTCTGTGAGAGCCAGAGATTTTCCATGTTTGAGGTGACCAAATACTTATTTTCCACCCTGATTTACGAATAAATTCTTTACAAATCCTACCATGTGAATTCATGGATTTTTTTTTCACATTCTGTCTCTCACAGTTGAAGTGTACCTCTGGTGCAAATTACTGACCTCTGTCATCATTTTAGGTGGGGGAACTTGCACAATCGGTGGCTGACTAAATACTTTTTTGCCCCACTGTATCCCAGACTTCATAGTGCGGCGGTGGGTGTGGATAATTTTGCGGGAAAAAACCCCACAAAAAAAACAGTGGAAGCGGAGCGGCCGAAGAGTGAACTGTCAGAAGTAAGTACTGAATATGACGTCACTTATTTATGTGCAAATGTTTAATAATGAGGAACATTAAAACATGACTGTTGGCCACATGTCGGCAAAGTTATGTGACATTAGTGACGTTTGTACTTGCAGCGTTAACTTGCTTTTAAAGCCTTTACTTTTAAATTTACGCCGTTCAATAGTCGACCTTAATCTTACAGAGAATGTGGTGATTTGATGGATAATTAAAGTCAGTCATATATCCACAAACACAACAAGCTGAAAGTCAGTGATGCTGCTCGGTTTGCAGTCCTGAATATCACGGCACAAGCAGGATTCACTGCACTGTTAATGTGAGCTGTGTTATATTGCTGCCTCTGTTCGGTGGTGTCGAGCCAAACGCACTTTAACGTGTGTGTGAACGAGCTGACGGTTCACTCGTTAAGCTGAAAGAAAGATGCTTTAATCACAGCAGTCACACATGTGTCCACTGCACCATCTGGAACTCTTCTTGTTTACACTCGTAATAACACAAACACTAAATCCTGCTTCTCTGGTGCTGTTGTGTAGCAGTGTGTACACCTGAGACTGCCACCTGTCTGTCTGTCCTGCACTCTCTCTCTGTTTCTTTCTCTCTGATTGTGGAATAAAAGTATGAACGTGTGTTTATAAGTTACACTTGTGTTTGAATCCTGCAGCTTATCACACATTTGATTTCCATGTGTGACGACTGCAAGTGTCCAGAGTGAGGACAGACTGAGGGACCCACTGCTGCACATCATCTGTGAGGCTTTGCACCCCTGATGATCCACCAGGACAAACTCAGCAGTGTGTGAGGAAGAGGAGGAGGAAGAGCCAGCAGCAGCTGACAGATGGAGAGAATAGACAGACTGTTCCCTGTTTGTGAAGGACTGCTAGGAAAGTTTAACTGTCTGTGCTGAATCAGTCTTATTAGGTAATGTTCAAATAATGTGATCATCCCAGTGTTTCCAGTGTGGGAGAAAGTACTCAGAGTACTCAGGGCCTTCAAGTTACACACTATGAAAGG